TTATTCTATTAATAATAATTTTATATTGGAGTGCAAATAAATATAATCTACAATCATTTAAATGTATAATTATCACAATTAAGATAAGTTTGGGAAATGATGTCGTCATTGGAGAATTAACATTTCGTCCGGTTCAACACATACGTTGGTATAATTGCGAACTATCCAAAATGATCAATGGTGTTCTCGTTCTTTACCCTAATTCGCGCTTATTCATGAACTCAACCGAAACCCGCAATATATCTTGCATGATCACTATACTTTACAGTAGTCCCCGAAATTTGTATGCGTTTTACACGGTAAACCGTCGATCCTTTCGCTCTGAGAACCAACTTCGCTACTATTTCCAACCTTTCTATCAACTTCGCCTAGAGAACCGGTTAACATGCTAATGCCATTACATATTAATTACCATTAATGCCGTCGAGTACTCGGTATCTTGAAAACAAACTGGTAACTAATCGATAATAAATTTAACAAGTGACGAAGACTGCGGGCGATCATACTTATAAACCTACTTACGAATCAAAATCATGGTTGCGATGGTTTCAAGAGTCGGTTTCAATCAGTCGAATTTTTTTATACAATTGCGAATAACTAAATATGAATATCGCATTATTTAACAATCATTTCAATCAAATTGCATTATAGATTGCTGATAAATATTTATCCTCCTTGGACTTCAAATACAATTTGAACTTGCATTTTTTTTAAGTTTATTTTTTGTAAAATAAAAATTTCGAACGAGAGAGTCGTTCGAAAAATCGAATCGCTTGAAATTTGTCGGCACATTAAATTTTATTTTACAAGACAATTAGAACGATATCTCCATGCCTCATAATATGTAATTGTACAGTTATCAATTTCTTCTGTCGCACATTGGTCGCTAATATAGGTGTAAATCAATAATACAGTAATTATTGAGCGAAACGCATAATTAACGACTGAACTAATTAATGGCTAAAACGTATAAGACTCATTACGCTCGCGAAATTCCAAACGGCGATATATGCGATCGAACAACCTCGATTCCCGAAGTTTGCTCGTGAGATACGCTACGACAGATTATTTCGGACTGTATAGAGACGCGAATGTTCTGTACGCTTCGAAGAAAATATAACACGATTAAACTTACTCCGATACGCGCCGTTGAGTCAGGCGATAATAATTGCAGCCGTGGAATAATTAGCTGTACGCGAATGTCCATTTGCGTGAGATAAACCGACCTTAGCAGACTTTAATTTAGAGAAAGAGCCTAATGGACTTTCGAAATTGTTTTCACGATTGTACTACTATGAATCAAGGCCTTTTACTCTGTTTTTTTTTGCTATAAAAATTTTCTACGCTATTCAAATTCTTCGAATCGTTAGATCAAGATATTTGCCTTTCGATGACCTTCAACGTAGCATCGCTTTTAATTAAATTACATGTATTCGATGAGGTTCAGTTTATTCGAATACGATTGTATGCAAATGTGTAATATACGGTAGAAAATCTTCGAAGTTGCATCATAATTTAGTTACTCATTCATTTTTAATACGGGTGATATTGTTCTTTGTAAATTTACGAAGGCAGAAATGTGTGCAACCGTTGTTTTAAACGTGCCGAAATTTCCCTCTGAATTTTTCAACGGTTCTGCTTTACCACAAAGCCGTTGGACCGCTACAAATTGATCCTAAATTAAGCGGCGCAGTAATATTGCATCAGTACGTGTTACATTGCAGCGGTCTCTCGTTATAATGAGGTTTATATTTTTAGAATAATATTTTTCAAAGCGTTACATGGTAAAATGTGATACAATCCGCGATCTCTTTTGTCACGAAACACAATTTTTCATCGTGTCCTTTTTTTTTCCGGGCTCGCGCGAATTTTGCGCCGAGTCAACTTAATTAACTGCGTGCTGACTCTTTATCTCTCTACTATAAACAATTATACCTGCAAATGATTCCATTGAGCCTAGATTAAACCTAAACCAAATTGTTAACATAAATTCGTCCACTCGCAGTCGGCAAAAGCCTCGAAATTCCAAGACGTATTGAATATCGTACGCCAATGAACGGTCGAATCGATCCCGCGTGCAATTTAATTTGCGAATTCCCCGCCGTTCCGCAGAAACAACGCGTTTCGCAGAAACAACGTGCCGTGGTTGACCCGCGACCGGCTCTTTGCGGCCCTAATGACTATCCCGCCGCGTGGCAAACGACAAAATCAATTCATGGCGCTGTGTAGGCGGGCGCCATGAAAAATCGCCGCTGGACTCGATATTCGCACGCGATATATATTTTCGCGTACGCGCTACGTGCATTCGCGATCGCCGATTCTCACGAATGTGAGAAACGCGTACGTTTACACCCGTACATTGTACGCGGAGCGTAATGCACGTGGTGCATCGTACCGAGTACCGATTGGCGTGACGGTACGTTGCATCCGCGGCACGCGCGCCGCGATACCGGGTGTCCGCCGAGAAGGGCGGTTGATTGGTTAGTTGCAGCAAGCTGCAATCGCCCGGCTGTAGTCGGTTTGCGTTTGATCGGGGATAGGAAAATGCTCTTTGAGAATTAGAGATCGACGAGTCGAGTAAATTCTATTCTTCGCGCGTCATAAATCAATGGCGCGTGATAAATCCGCGATAGAGTTAGGTATATCGAATATCAGGTATCGCGAGAAATAGAAAAACAAAAAAAAAATAAAAAAATAAATAAACGATAAACTGCGCGATAATTTTGGCTGAAAAGTATAAATTACTTAAAGAATGAATAAGATCGTTCATCGTTGTCTCGCGACGTACACGAGTACCGTGTTTAAATCCAGCGAGACTTGCGAACTTGAGCGAGCTGGATTAGTTTTCGAAAATCTCAAGTATGATTTCTGTAAACGGATGAAAATATATATATATATATAGTCGGAGCGAGAAAATATCTGACGTAAAATGAAATTTGTAACATTGTAAATTAAATCGTTTTCACGGTTCTTCGATGACGAAATGTAGGACGGGATCACGGAGCTTTTGCTCAAATGAATATCGAATACTGTTTGCTAAATTAATGAACGAGCGAAAAACACAAGCTCGCGCTGGCGGGCATATTTCCGCGATGTTAAATATTTATTCAGGAAATTAACATCCGTCACAAATGCACATGTATCGCAACGTACTATGGCGTGGCTCTGATAATTGTTTCGACTAGCATAAATATCATAATTTGTAAAATCCCGCTGATGATTAAACAGCATCCGCCGGCGTTGAACTGACGCTCGGAAATCTTTTCGACGGAGCCGGCGACGCGGCAGAGTTAAACACGTCATGCTGGTGTGATAACGGTCAACTATTCGGCCTTTGGATAAGGAAGTGAAAAAAAATCCCGTTATCGCCGTTTGTATCACGAACCATTCTAGGGAGTGGAGCGGAATCAAGCGGAATTATAACTGGCGTAAGCGAATTGTAGCCTGCCTGTGAGATAAAAAAAATCGACGTCTTTGAGATATTGAACGCGTTCGAATGCATTTCTAGAAATTATATAAGAACATAGCGAGTGTTATTTTTCCATATTCTTACTTTCCTCGAAATATGTACTCAATAGAAGTATCGAACGGAAAGTTTCTTCCTTTTTTAACAGCCCCAATGAAACTTTCGCGACAGTCCAATAATGCTCATAATTATGTAAAGATTCGTAGAGTTCTAAGAAAAGTACGTTTCCATACCTTTTAATTCGCACAATGTGTTTATATGTTCAGAGCAATGAAATGATTAATTATTAACAATTTCGTTTATATACGTATAAATTAAGTCTTCGGATATTTTCGAGTGTTGCGATGAAGTTCCGATAATTGTGACAATTTTACTCTCCGAATTACGTTCCGAGTTACTAAAAAACGAAATAGTCAATTCTCTATATCAAATGCAGTTTTTTTTCCTCTCGGTTTGCCATGTGCACAACCGTGCATATCCTTCGAAAACCACCGTGTCCGGTTACTCAATCGCGTGCGATCTGCATAATTTCGCGTGTGATTCTCGCTGGAAGAACTGCATCCGCGTCTCACAGCTACGAACATCCGCGTGCTTTTCTCTGGAACCTTAATCATCGTCCATCATTTCCTATGACAAACAAGTCAGCCGTGCGCATTATAGCGATGCGCGTGCGTGAATTTGTGCAGCGGGCTAGATATCGTCATCCGCAGCGGGTACATTTCGCGTAACTCCCGATTATGTAACCGCGATTATAAAACCGCGTGCCACTTACTTTAGCATATACGATTACAATAGCGATAATTAACATTCAGAGAAATATACTTTGGCGGACGTACATGCCCGGCTTTTACATAAGTGGTACCATGCGGTTATTCAAGAAACTATTTCAAGATCGATAGGCCAGAAACAAAACGATCCACAATTGCAAATTTATTCTATTTACATTCTATTCGACGAAACTGGATGTGCTTATTATATACATAAATTCAACATTCCATTGTTTTTTTTTTTCGAGCAACAGATTTATACAGATGCTCGAAAAAAATTATTGAAGCTGCAATCAAATATTTCAGCTTTAGGAAGCTTTTTATTAGGCATCGATTTAATGAGCACATTCGACGAAAATTTATCGAAAGGTACGTAAAGTGTTTGATGTTATTTTACTTTTATTTTTGATAATAATGAGTTGGATACTCAGCTTATATTTGTATACTTTCTAAATTCTTTGGAGTGAAATATCACGCTAAAGAAATTGAGCCAATTCTGAAAGAGAGCAGCTCAATTTTCAATCTTTAAAAGTGAGATTTCATTCTTCGGAGTGAGATTTCTCTTCAGAATGACGACTCTAAAAGAGGGGTTTTAGAGAACACGAGCCTTGACATTTTTGTCAATCTCAAATAGGTAACGTTCTATCGAGTGGCGGCATACAGAAATGTTTGTTTGCCTTGTTGAAAGTAAAACTCCGTACATATACGCACGAGTTCCGGGTAACCGGTGCACATCATTGTTTGACGTAGTTGCGGTGGTGTCACAGGTCTGGAACGGGTAGCGGAGGAGTTGATGGGCCGTAGGAGATGGAAGCAATACCAGGACACCCTGTACAGCGGCACTCGCAGCAGCGAATCACAGCCCCACCATCGGCTTTACCCGGCGTTGTCGTCGTCCTGCAATCCGATACCCGGGAGCCTGGACCAGATTGGGCAGCCGCAGCTGCATCACCCGGCACCCACGTCGTTGCCGTCGACGGTGCTGACGACGGCGACGACCACGACGACAACGACGACGACGACGCTTGCGACCGGTGTGGTGAAACAGGAGAGTCTGCAGAGGCATCATCTGCAGAATCACCATCACCTACCCGCACCGGTACAGGACCATTTACAGCAGCAACAGCAGGAGGATTCGCGCCGTCTGAGGCCGGGCGAAGTCAAGGTCGAGGTCGCCGACGAGGAGCTGACGGACGGTGCCGCGCGGGAGGACGCCTCGACGAGGACGACGGATACGGCGACGTCGACGACGGCGACGGCGACGGCGACGACGGCGGAAGTAGCGACAACGACGGCAACGGCGACGACCATCGGCATCGCGACGACCACGTCGACAACGACGACAGCGACCGGCACGACGACGATAGCGACGAGACGGCGACGTGGACGCCGGCAAAACGACGGGGAGGACGTCGACGGGGAGGAGGACGGCGAAGAGAACGACGAGGAAACGGGACGGGGCCAGAACGAAGCGGAGAAACGGCTCAAGCTCGACGAGGACGCCGACAGGTCGGCGGTCAGCCCTCTCAGAACGGAGAACGATCGTGCGACTCGGGATCATCCGACTGCCAACGCTACCGACACGGAAGGGACCAAGGTTGGTATTTATATATTGCAGCTTGTTCTTTTTAGCTAAACTTCTTACCGTTATTTTCCTTTTTTTTCTCGAATTTCGAGAAAAAGGCGATGAACCGTGCAAAAGTTTAGTTGAAAAGAACTGACTTATGTAGAAGAATAAAAATAATGAAATAATAATTACTCTACAGAGAGAGAGAGAGAGAGAGAGAGAGAGAGAGAGGGAGAGAGAATACTCTAAATTAAGTATGACAAGAATATATAATAGTAATATATTTATTTTAATTAATCGGTCAAGATTCCACAGCAACTTGAAAATTTCGTCTCACATTCTCTGTCGCTTCGTTCACATTGTTTATCTCTTGATCTTAGGAACGAACGGAGGAAATCGCGTTGGAGCGGGCACCGATAACGCAGGGCTTACTGAGGGTAAAGAAAGAGGAGGAGCTGCAGGAAGTACCGGGTTCTGGCGGTACCACGACGATATCGACGACACCGGCGACGGATTCGGAAGGGACCAGGTCGGGGCTGTTATGCCGCGACGGGAACGCAGCCGCGACGAGCGTCGCGACGCCGTTTCTCCTTGGAAGACGCACGAGCCCGCCGCCGGAGGACTGGAAGCCGCTCGACAAGTGTTACTTCTGCCTCGACGGCAAGCTACCCCACGACGACCAGCCGCCCCTTGTAAGTACCCTACGGCGAGTCTGCCGAGTCTGCCGAGTGTGAGGTTGCGCATGGCTGAGCATCGACCTCGTCCTTCATTGCTAATTTTGTGTAGAGATTATCCGCGAAAGGGATGAGGACCGGGATAAGTAAACGTGTAACGCATAAGTAATCTTTCTTCACGCGGAACTCGGATCCCGAAGATTCTGCGATTCTGCGACGAACGCTTCGAAATGACTCGAAAATGATCTCGAAATATCCCGACGGTCTTATCGATGATTTGTCGAGATCGATAGATGAATCGATGCACACTAATGCTGTTCGTTTCTTCTGCAATGCACTTATGCAATCGCGTCATCGGAATCTCCTTTCAATACACCTCGTTCCTCATACATACTTGTTGTGCCGTCGCGACCGCGGCTCGAGTCTGACCTAGCCCTCCTTCTTTGCTACTTTTTGATTCGACAAGTCGAGCGTACTTTGTACCGCATCGCTGTATCGCCCAGCCTCTCAGCTTTGATCACTTTGACGCGGCCATAAAAAAATTCACGAGGACTCGCGAAGGCGGCGCGCCTTACGAGAAACGAATTCGATCAGAATTCGATCCTGCCGCATCGCGTCTTCTCGCGGATGTCTCACCCTGGTGCCCCTTCTGTCGTCCGACCAATCCACACCGGCTATTCAGTCAGGCAGCTCCTTTTCGTATCGCGCGAGCCGGGATGACACGTTTCTTCGTGTTGTGCCCCGCAGAGTCCGCAGAGCGACAGTAGCAGCAGCTCGCGATCGGCGGAGTCACCGATGTCGGTCCAGGTGGATCCGATGGCGGCGTCCGTGGTCGCCGCCGCTCTCAGCGGCACTTACCCCACCTTGCTGCCCCAATGGTGCTTACCGCCGAGGGAGGCGCCCCTTGTTGGGGTGCAGACCCATCAGGACAGCGCCGCGGCGGCCGATCAACCGCTCGATCTCTCGGCCAAACCCAGAAATTCTCAGGTAAGTTCGAGACCGAATTCATTCTATCGCGTGAAAGCATAAACGGTTTTTCTCAAACATCTTCATTATTCTTGCTCAATGTGCTCGTTCAAATTGATTTGGACGAATTGAATTCGCGATGAAACGATCACCAAGTTGCGCGATTCACCGAGTGTGTTTGATCAAGGATCCACGTAATGAGTGGAGACGATTGTAAACGATGTGCAAATTATCCGTAACTGTTATTCATACTTTTTAGTCAGGGTTGTCACGATGGAATCATTTTTTACGCGACGATTGCTACTTCATGTATTGCTAAACAATAATTCCTTTCATATAGTGTGTTTTATTAGTGCTTCCTAGTCTTGTTCTTAAGTGACTAACGCTGACGTCAAAGTAACAAGGCTGTATGCTTGCGTAATATTAAGTTATTTATTTATTTTATTTTTATCACTCGACGGTTGTTTTGTACTAATGTTATTATCCATTTTGTTTGTTCAGGACAACAACATATCTCTATTGGAGCAACAGAAAATACCTCTGAGAATGCCGACAGGCATCGATCCCAAGACTATCCTGAAGTAAGTTATCTTTTTACATTTCCTTAATAGGCAACGGTATAGGATACTTTTTACTATACTTTTTACTAATAATAAAAAGTGACAGTTGAGATATGCATTAATCGTAACAAATGAGTGTTTTTAATTTAAATTATAAATATACGCTATGCGTTATTCATGAAAACACACACTCATATTTGTTTGATTCGACATTTATGGTTGACATTTATAATATAAAATATATTAAAGTTTGAATGAAAAGAAATTCCTAGAGTAGTAATCTTAATCAAATAGCTGTGCACAAAGATGAACGCTGAAGAATGTTGAAAAGATTTCGATCTTTCGTTCATAAATTTCACATTATATCTTTAACCTTCACACGTTTCATTTAATTTTGTTTATAAAATTTCTTTTCTTTAATTAATGAGCTTAATAATGTGTCGATGCTAAAGTGTTCAAGTGATAAATGTTTTACAACTATTTCAACTCCGCATTTAAAATGTGACAAGAGATAGAAGTGAAAGTTTCTTTCTAAAAGTGCGCATTAGAATGAAAACGAAAAAAAAAAGCCAAATGGAAACGACGAGTTCCAACGAAAGTTTCGTACGAATATTTGGCTTTGATGAGAGAACGTTCTTTCCTATACGTTGGAAAATCGTCGTTTGTCAATGACAATGAGGCATCGTTTCGGCGTTATCGCACAACTCGCTTTACACCTCGAGGCGAGTCACCGATAGGAATATGCATTCCGTATGCGAATGTGGAGGGGAAAAAAAAGAATACGACCCACGATCGCATTCCGTAGCGAACGTTCTTCGTGATCGAGTGGCCGTTTAAGCTGGGCCGGGCGGGCGTTTCGATAAGGCGTCGATTAAAACACCGCAGGCGAACGACTTTCGAAAATCGCGAAACTGACAGCCAGTCGATCCGGAATGCCGTCGCAATTAGGTGCCAATCACGCGGCCGGGCATAACCGTGATTTATCTCTCTCGTAAAGACGTCATGCGCGACAACGGCAGAGGGGAATCGTATCGTTCGTTCGACACTGGTGCGGGTTGATCGAGTTCGCGGTCGTGTGCTGCATTTTCGGATTTATCCGGACAAATATACGGAATAAAATCGCCGCAAATTGATGCGATATAACTAAAATCTTTGAGATTCTTTGCCTTAATCGGTTTGTTTATACAACTAAAAATATCATGTTTTTATTATTTATAATCACATGGGTTATTATTTTCAATTATTTCATAAACAATTAATTTGTCGAACAAAACAACTTTTAAACAGTTTTTACATTTGAGTAATTCATAAGTATCTATGCTGTAATTGTACTTTTAGGTAAACAGGATTGTAGATAAAGAAATGCGGCGGTTATCAGAACTTAGGATTGCGGCGAAGCTCAAGTTTGTTAAATGAACTTGGTGGTTCTATTGAGTCGTAGTAATACTATTGCGAATATTCGACTATCCTAGATACGTTAGAGATGTATGCCGTATTTTCTGGAGGAAAAATAATAACACTTCAAAATTAATATACATACAAAAATAACTTAAAAGTGTTATTTGTTATAAATTTTACAAATTTACTAATAATAATCTAAACATTTATATATTTTATTAATAAACTAAAATTAATGAAATATGATTTTTACTAATTTGAGTAAGAATGACTGATGATGAAAAACAATGATGAAATGAACAGTATATATAAACAAGATATTTAATTATGACTATTTAATTAAATTGTTTGGTGTCGTGAACGATTCTGAATTTTCTGCATAGGTACGATGTTTTCCTTGCGATTCGTAGCTATCACGCTGCTACAATGAAACGATGATAATTCCAATGGCTTGCGAGAAATTTATGTGTCTGGATAAATAAAGTCACACATTACAGATTCAACGAACTCTCAATTCGCATTGAACTAACTTGAAAAGATGATTACTAATCTCATAACTAATCTGCCAAAATATTTTTTTTTGTTTTTGCTATTGGACTGAAAGTCATTTTCATTCATTTACATATCGTTATAATTTACAATGATGTGCTTTTAAAGAAATTGATAATTAACTACTTATTATTTGATATTACTGCGAATTATTTTACATAAAAATGTCATATTTAATCATTATTATTACAATTAATTTCTGCAATTATTTTTTCTTTTATTTTTATGAAATTTTAATTAGATTAAAAAAATAAATAATTTCAAAAGATTTTAAAATTTGTTACAAAATATTTTTTTAAGTAGACAGAGTTATAAAGAAATAAACGATTTCATAGAATTTATTCTACACTATCATATATACCATTACAAAGAATGTTAGAAAATAATTTACTGCAAATTGCAATTACTTTATGAATTATTAAGTTTAAGTTTGTAAAAATATTTTCTTTTTTTGTGGACAAGAAAACTACTGTAGTACATTTTTCCTGTAACGTAAAGAGAATAATACGTTCTTTGATTAAACTGTCACAACTAGGCAGATCGCTTATTGCACGACTCTCACGTAAATGTTTAATGTATCGCGCGCTTTAGTGTTTTAAACTGTACGAAAAAATTTCGTTGTAATACGTTTGTGCGATCGTGGTAAGCAGCCAGTATCCTACAAACCGTAATAATACCGACGAGTTGCTTGAACTTTGCAACCCTTTGAGCTTTAAACTGTTATACGTCTGCGGTACGTACCTCGATAAATATTTAAGCAGTCCGTTTCACAGAATCGATGCAACTCGCTTGTGGTCTCGAATACGAAACATGATGAAGCAAATTTCGTAAACCTATCCACGCCTAAATAAATGACAACAAAGGGAAAAGTTTTATACATATTTTATCTCGCTTCTCTATCGCGAAGACAGTATGAAAGAGATTATGAAAATATGATATTTACGCATAGTTCCGTTTCGTGTACAACTCATATTGAAATTTAGGAAGTCCTAGTAAGTGGATAAATATCAATTTTAGTGAGATTTAAATTTTATTTTGAAAAATTGATATTGTTCTAATTTTCTGACCACACATTATTAAAGTTACGAAAAAGTATAATATATCACATTGATCGATAAAAATTTAATTTTTACCTTAAACAGACAAGATTTTTTCTACTTGCGATCATGACAATTATTATCTTTATTACACGATTTGCGAAAAAATGGAAAAGATCGGTAGTTTGAGCGATTCGAATGTGTCAGATTGTTGGAGTACGTTGCCCCCATGTTTTCGCTGTTTTCCCTCGCGGAACATTTTGCGCGTCAAATTTTTATCATCGTCTATTATTAGTCCACCGTAATCTGTACCTCCTGACGTATCGAAGATGCAGAGTACCTCGAGTATGTCGCGGCGCGTAATAAAGAAGCGTAAAGGGGAGACTGAAACGTAAGAAAGAGAGAGCGAAGAAATGAAGAGAGTAGGATAGGAAACGAGTAAGAGAAGAGGGAAGAAAGTTCGAAGGGGAAGAGAAAAGAAAGAGATCTTGGCGAGAGAGACGTTTGCGCCGACGCATATATACACGACTGCGTAATTAGCGATAAGATAGGACCGCCGACGAAACCGCCGCGTCGAGTCGAAATTAAGCCTAATTTAAACTAGCGTGTTAATTTTAATTTTGTTTTAATTTTAATATATGTATTTAAATATTGGGTTTAGCAAATCTATATAAACTGTATTGTATTAAAAATATACAGCAATTAGCAATAGTGTTCGTAAATATGACGAAAGACAATTAAAATAATTAATTATATTTGTCACTTTTCTAAAGAGATTTAAATATTTCAAAATTGTGAAAGAAAAAAACAAATTTATTTAATTTTCAATAAAAGTAAATTCACGTACAGCATCCGTAGATGATGGAAGAAAGTGTCAGTAATGTGTAGCGTTCTGCATTTTTGATCAGTAAATTAAGATATATTACTACTTGCAATTCATTAGATGAATTAAGGATTCTACGTAATTATTTTTTACTTGGTCCCCAAACAAAATTATTTTCAGATCTATATCTAACTAAATTTTTAAATATTTCATCAAAATTGTTTTTTTTTCTTCGTGTATATTTACCGATTTGCAATATAATATCATTCATAGTTTATTTGGAGAATCCACATTTTAAACTCTATAGATTTTAGAGATATTAATCATAGAAGATTTTTGCCTTTTTTTCTAATATTGTTTGTAATAAATTCGTAATATAAAAACTTAGTTATTTATTTAAATACGATTACGTATAAAATTTCTAGTAACGCGAGAATTGCGTGGGTTGTTAGATCGTTAATGCACCTATAGCGTAATACCTATTAAATTCATGCGATAGGCACGTTAAGTTTTTCTACTTTGGTGCTACAAAGTAGACAAACTCAAGGTACTTAGCGTCGTCTATAAACGGACATTGCGTAATTAGACTAGTTTGACTAATTTCATACTTTTCTTTAAGCACTGCCATTTACATTGTTATGTCGCGATTTTTGTTTCAATCTTTTTATGCTGTTATCACATCCGTTTCATCTATGTACGAGGCTAAACTAACATTTGTTTGCGTCAACAAATTGTATTAAATTGTATTAAACCAAAAAGCTATTATTATATATGTTGTAATTATTTTAAATATTTTATTATAAACATTTATTAATTTGATTATATATATTAATTTTATTAATGAATATTTCATATTTTTTTGTTCTATGTTTTAAAGTAAAATAATAATATAAATTTCTTAGAGATGTAATATGAGAAATACGAGTCGATCGGTTAGATTTAAGAACGTGTCTTCTCATGGCAAGTAGCCATGAAGAAGCGAAATTAGACGTACAGTTTGCACTTGCGCGCGTCCGCGATACTGGAAAAATAGGCGAGCTGCAATAAAACCAGACACCGGGATACTGAAGTAAAACCGGTTCGTAGAAGGCTTTGGAGAAGGTTTGCTGGCCAAAGAGATATTGACGCCGCTGCGAAGGACAAGATTACGACTATCTGGTTCGCGATTGCGTGAGCCTCGTGATTTATGCCAGAATTTACTAAACTGAACCATCCAGTTTGATCATGAAACCTTGGTTTCCGGCATCTGTAAATATGTTGACGTAGAAGATGTCTGTTTTAATGTTTGTTTTTTTTTTTTTTTTTCAACAGCTCTGCTAAAGACTTCTCGCATGTTTGAGGAATTTTACATTGTTGCACAGAGATAAATCTGTTACTTAAGTTAAGGAATTCGTTCTTGACATAAATTGCTATATTACATTGAAAGTATAACGCGCGATACGGTGTTTCTTTTGCGGAGGTGTGCGACGAGGAGTCCGCGGCGCGAAGGAACACGTTTTTTTACGGAAATGATTCGATGATAAAGTCTAAATTCCTTGCGGTTAGATACACGTCGTTTTATTTCGCGGATGCGAATACCGTTCTCTAATATGCGAAATTATGCGACGATATTACTTGTGGAACATTGAACCTGAAAACGCACGTGGAACGCGGGACGACCGAGTTTCCGATCCGGCGTTGAACGTAGCGCGTATCTTCGCGTAAAACCGCAGACGAGCCAATAAACAAAAATCGCAGATAAATCAGCGCCGGTCGATGACTACTGACGTAGCGGGACCTATCCGGCGAGCCAGCGTCGGACGAAATGCACTTTTATCAGCGGCACAGGTCGACGAACTTGCAAAGGAGGGCTCCACGGTGCAAGCGGGGGTGGGACGACGAAAGGGGAGCGCGAAGCTCGCGATGATTTCTTACGCCTAATCTTATCGTTGCGCTCCATGACAAATTACACCGACCCGATATCCATCACCTTCGTGCCACGTCGCGTTCTTTTATGCGAGCGCGAAATATTACTGAATGCTTACACACCTAAAATTGTTATTCTTCGTGAATTTAGCGCGAGGTGATTAGGTGTAAACAACGTTCAGTTCTTGGGATGGTTGAGAAAATTTATTGTTGCATAAAAATAGCTAGGAGGAAAGTTTTTATTGTCTTTTATAAACTTTTTCATAACGTCTGTAGATTTTTATTAAGTTGAATCATATTATTATATATATATATATATTGATATTTAAAGATGTTATGCACTCTGAGTTAGTATTATGTAATTGTTTATTTTTATCTGTTCCTTTATTGCAATCTGATAGAATAAGATTTATTTTTTTAAATATTGACAGTAATGAATATTTTATGTCACAGATATTTTAGAATAATTAGCATCAAAATTGCCTTGTAAACATAACGTGTTACAGGAAATGGCGATAATACGAAAATTGATGATAGCAACAAAAAAAAATTCTAATAAACATATATGATAAATATATTTGTACACGATTTGTATCTTCTGGCAATTTAACCGGTGTTTTAATTTTCATCTTATCATAAATAAATCTTATTTATATAATCGTATTGCGAAATGATGTTTATGTAAATGAATGTGTGTGTTTGAAGAAGCATAAATGCACGCTTTTTCTGGCTAGAAATCGATTAATGCAATACGAGAAATTGCCGAGTTAACGCGTTTTTCAGTCTGTTCGTTTGAAAAACTTAATTTGCATGGCTCGATGTCCCCCGAAGCCAGGATCAAAGCTATACGGATTCGCAATTCGCCATTGGCACGACGCCAAACACGTGCAAGCACCGGGACGGCCACGTGGCCATTTGATGCGGGTTGCTTCTCGAGTTAGTCTAGGAAACGTGAATACACGTGAGTCTGCATTACGAGAAACGCTGAATAATCTGAGAATCTAACTTTGTTATATATACACGAAGTTCGCGAGTGAATATCGAACGCGTCCATTGGCCAATCGATTATCGAACCACGCAGTCTCTTGGCTACTCGCTTGCTCATAATATTCTGCTATTTGAATGTTTCATATTCAAACTAAGTCATCTCAAGTAAGTCCATAATTCTTTCATAATATTTCTAAAGAGAATACAAATAGAAAATATAATATTCAGCTAAATATCTTATTGTACAATACTTTTCACCGATAAGAAGAAATCGGAAGACAGTAAAGTAAATTATTTTATGCGAGATTGATTTTTTTTTTCTTCAGGCGATACTATTTTTTAATATATTACTTCCTCCTCTGTGTTTATACGCGCAGTTTTGGAAAGTAGAATTAATTTTCTTTGACTTTAGTATATGACAGAATAAACGAGATTTCTGTTATGATGACTGACGGATAGTTATCGAAGCTATCTTAAAAGTCGGACCGGCGAAATGGAAAACTCGAGGGACACAAAAATAAGTTTTCCTGTATGATAAAATGCAATTGACAAGCAACGCGAATTTCAATGAATTGTTTCCGTTACGTGACATCTTTCAATACTTTATACAGACATTTGTAGTACACGATGTGAAGGTTTCAGAGACGCGATATTGCAAACTCGGCGCTCACCAAGCATTCAATCGGCGCTCATTTCCATGTACGTAGCTATACGCTGTCCCGAAATTACGTTTCGAGCGGCTCTCAACATTACAGGCAAAAACATCATCAAGGTACTGGCCCCGATATAACGTTGATTAATGCTGTTTCAGCTCGTGTTACCGCGCGAAACCGCGAATGACCGGACCGGTTGTGACCGCGGCGGCAGCGGCGGCGGCGGCTGCGGCAGGCGTCGGTGGTGTTCCAGTGGTGGGTGCCGGGGGCGGCAGGAGGACTTATACCGAGGAGGAACTGCAGGCCGCCCTCAGGGACATCCAGAGCGGCAAACTCGGCACGCGGAGGGCAGCGGTAATCTACGGGATACCGCGTAGCACTCTGCGCAACAAGGTCTACAAGCTCGCGATGGAACGCGAAAGGGACGCGTCCCTGACTAGCACCCATTCACACCCTCACGAGCCCGGCGCCCCAGCCACCACCACCACCACCATCACCACCACCACCACCACCACTACTACTACTACTACAACACCACCAAATACGACCCAAAACGCCTCCGCGACCACTCCGCCCCCGCAAGTGGACGAGGTAGGTTTTGGGGACAGACAACGGAAGATAGTTAGAGATCTAGAGAGAGAGAAAGAGAGACAGAAAGAAAGAAAGAAAGAAAGAAAGAAGGAAGGAAAGAAAGAGAACAGCGAGAATGATCGAGATGCAGAGAGCCGGGAGTGGAAACGTGCCATCGACACGTGCCGAAGTCTCGTTGGTCTTTCACGCGTGTCGTAGAAAAGCCGAGGATGCAAATTGGCATAGACAGCGGCTGGGGAATCTCGTGAGGGAATGATGCGACGAACCGAAGCGACGCGCGAAGATGCTATATCGTGTATCTTCTTTTATCTTCGGAGTTACCGTTATCGATGTCCGACGTTTCTCATCCGGAAACGAGTCGATAGCGCGACAAAATGATTTCGGGGTTGCTGCGTTGACTCGTTTCAAATAACGCGGAATGTCGATGTTGATACCGTCGCGTATTTCATGATCTATTGCGAGTGCCTAATGATATGTTTATATTATTTTGATTTACAAGTTACATATCGGATTCATATTGGCGATAGATTACAAGACAAATATTATAAAAATCGAAAAAAGAGATAAATCAAGCATTTTATCTGATATATTGTATTTTGAAAGAGATGTGTCATAATATCTCTGTACGTTAATTATTATATAGCACCAAAAGTGAAAAGAGATATAAGAAGCTATAAAGATGGTTAGTATCTGATTAGATTTTTGTTGAAAAAAATTGATATCAGATTGATTAATGATTTTATAAAAGAAACAATTTTTCGTCGTTAAATACATTGCGATAATGATTATAAATATCTATGAGTTATGTTTTGTATAAGTTTGCACAATATGTATCGATTGAGAAGAAAAATATCCTCAAAGATATCAATTAAAAAGATAAACTATATAAAGAAATGTTATCTTAGATAATTTTCTCAGAAGTATGAAATTATGATCACGGTAATTTCCAAAGTCATTTATCAACGTTATAGATTATAGAATATTGTCGGGCACTCGAGAAATCACATACGATATCTTACGACTTAAATCGTCCGCGTGCGAGTAATAAGTCTTCATGATTTACGCGGCAAAATAGGCCGATTACCATGCAGAGGAACATGGAAGGGGGTGGGAAACCGAACGATGCACGAGGGAAATCTCGTCGGGAAAATTCGCGAATATATACCGTTCATTTGTATCTAAGTGTGGTTTTGGTTAGGAAGAACGAATGAAGCTTCCCCAAAACATACCTCTGGCACGGCGATCGTGGATCTCGCGTGGACTGAGTGTCTTGTATCGCTAAACGATACGCTTATAGTCGCCCAATTTATATTCAGTCGACCAATAATTTCTGTAATTATAATTTGATGTAGTCTAAAAGTAGCTTCATTAGATTACAATCACATTCTGCTAAATTTTGTATTTATATATATATAAAATAATATATACTTTTATTTTATTAAATAAAAATTATTAAATTAAATTTTAATATTAAATATAGATAATGTAAAATTTTATATATTTTTTCTAATCACTTTATCTTTTTTACTTTAACTTTTATGTTTTCGAAGATATAAGATTATTAAATTTACAAGTAATTTATGAAAAAAAAAAAAACAGAGAAAGAAACATAGAGAAGAGAGAGGATATTCTTTTTTAACGTTGCCCAATGCTTTTTAATATTGACCAATTAAAGAAAAGTATATAGGAGAAGGATATGTCGATCTGATGGAAGAAGGTGACGGAAACTGTGCGTTTGTTCGGTGATTTTATGCTGAAGAAAAGAGAGACGATGGTCTACGCGGCTCCGTATCGGTCGCCGTGATGCTCCGTAGTGTCCAGTGTTTTTTGCATGGGCTGTTTAACTTTTTTTATCTCACTATTTGTAGTTTAACACACGGCAACTTGGTGTCCGCGAGGTTGCAAGATTCGAGGTAAGTTTTTGGGAAGGTCGTGTCGAGACGAAAGAAAAATTTGTCCGGGCTCGATCTTTCTCTCGTTCTTAAAGGTGCTTATAGTCGCGCCACGGAATTCATAAATGTACGCTTCTGGACCTCGACACTCTGCATCCTCGATGTGTGTTGTGCATACAATCCTCCGCATAGAGACGTCCAATCAAATCATTGTTTTGAAATGGACAGATCACAATTTCAGTGTAAACGCGCCGGCCATCCGTGAAACAGTCGCACGATTGAAGATTACGGCAAATTAAACGCGGTGGTTCAATTTAATCCTCATCACCTGTGTTATAGTGTATCTTGCTCGATTCTCGATTCTCAATTTAATAACGATTAATTTTTTTTTTTAGCATGTGTGGAACGAGAATTGATTTTAATTAAGTAATCGAAGATGCCGAGGGCATTAAAATGTATAAAAACTTTCGATTTATATTAGAAAAGTATATAGAAAAGTATATGGAAAAGTGTTTAGTCTATTCAGAACATAGTCTATTCAGAATAATATTTTTATCAGAAAAAAACATTCAGCAAGATTGAAAAAACATTTCATCATAAAATTTTGTGAAATTAAATTTGAGGCGTTTAATGTGTAATACGAATCGTCTCCTTAATCGAGAAAATATCCTGCATTCCGTATTGTATTTTTCTAAAAATTATAGTTGCATTGCACGGTCTGTTGGTTGTAATAGTTGCTACTTAAAATCATCTGCCGACTAAACTTTGCCTCAGCATGAGCACTAAGAGGCGTTATATTACGGTATAACTTGCCGAGCTTGCAAGCACGGTCTATGCATGAGAATGGTTAAAGTCATTTTTCGTGCTTGCATTTTGTGCGATCGCGTACCGCGCGTTTATATACATAGCCATCACAGAAGACTGTTGCTACACTTTTAGTGCAATGCATGCTCCTTAAACGAGTCCCGAGTGGTATCTCTACACTTGAATTCCGGCGTATCTCGTCGAAATGCACGCCAAAGATAAGCTTTTTTCTACGTGAATTCTGCCCTCTTTTCCTTCTATTGAGGACTAGAAGGGGAAAGGTAGTCGCAATTATTGTCTACCGGCCGACTGTTGAGAGCATCGAGAGCATTTTTCCCGTAAAACACTTGCCGCTGCTTTGGAAAATACCATTTACTGATTAGCAGCTCTCCTGCATGGTGCTTGGCTATTTTACATTTGATGGAGATACATGTACCAAGTGGTTTATGTAAAGTGACTCAATTGAATATCTTATGTTAGGTATTGAAGGATGAAGAAAGAAAAATAAAGGATATCTTTAATTTTGTTCTTTGTGTAAAAATGATTTTTTTTTGTTTTTTTTTTAAGGATAAGTTAAATGTTAAAGTTTATAAAAAAGTTTTAAAGCGATATTTTCAAGATTCTTAAAAAAGTTAAAGTTAGCGCATGTGATTTCTTTTACATAAAATCCGTCTACGTACCTCAAAGCC